GTTTTTTTTTCAGTCTGAAAGTAATTTTTCAGTTTTGATATTTTTACATATGGCGTTCAATTTTCGTTGGAGAATCTCTTTCATATTTCATATCTTTCAAACTAATAATGAGTGGTTATAATTATGTCTCAAGTACCTATTGAGCTATTACCCCCACGCGAGAATGGGGCTAGAGATTGGGCAATTGATCCAAACAGAACATAGCATATGGTAGGAAAAGGTAGAAGAGCCGGTGTTTGATAAACTTTAATTGAAAATAAATATAGTTTTGAGGAAACTACTGATAAGATTACACTTCTTTCTATCCTTTGTGTGCTTAGAATGCATTTTCCTTGAACCTCAATTCGGAATGCAATTTTTAAAAGAAACTTGCAAAAACTAGCTAGAGTTTTGTAAGACATAATTGACTAATAACATTCTTTGTTGCTTAAAATTTCCTTTATACAGCGGGAAAATATAGAAGTAATAGACCAAGGGTTGTGTGAAAAATTAAAAAAAAAACCATGCTAGAAGCAGGAGTATGAAAGCTGAGAGTTGGTTGCGTTTCGCTGCCGCAAAAATCGTTCTAAAACTGAACTGAATTTCTGATTGGAAAACAAGTTGAGCTTAAAAAGTCGATTTTATCTGTCGAAACATTATCGATCCTGCTCTTGAGGCAATTTTAATCCTTCTGTTTAAGCATTCTGTGGAAGAGTTTGAGCAGCATTTGGATCAACAGGAGCAGTACTCTTCAAAAGATTGCACAGTTTTTGAAAAATTGTCTACACAAACTAATAACAGGCCTTTTTCACGTCAAGTATGAAATAATAACAGACCTTTCTCACGTCAGTCTGAAGGTAATTTTTTAGCTTTGATATTTTTAAATTTGGCGTTCAATTTTTGTTGGAGAATCTATTTCATATTTCATATCATTCAACCTAATTACGAGTAGTTATAATTATGTCTCAAGTACCTATTGAGCTTCCCCCCCCCAAGCGAGAATGGGGGAAGAGATTGTGCAATTGATCCAAACAGAACATAAAAAAAACCATGCTAGAACCAGGAGTATGAAAGCTGAGAGTTGGTTGCGTATCGCTGTTGCAAAAATCGTCCTAAAATTGAACTGAATTTCTGATTGAAAAATAAGTTGAGCTGAAAATGGCGAAAATATCTGTCAAAACGTTATCAATCCTGCTCTTGAGGCAATTTCAATCCTTCTGTTGAAGCATTCTGTGGAGGATTTCGAGGAGCGTTTGGATCAACAGGAGCAGTACTTTTCAAAAGATTGCACAATTTTCGAAAATTTGTCTACTCAAAATAACAACAGGCCTTTCTCACGTCAAGTGTGCAAGTCTATAAAATAAATAATATATCCAGTTCAAAACCCAACAGATTAAATTGAAAGCGTGTCAGCTCCAAACTGAATGGGACAACTTGAATGACTCGCCTGCCGTAATTGTTAAATTATCTATTTTTTGGAAAAGAAAAAAAATTTTGGGAAAGCATTATGGCTTGTGAGAGAGTCAAATACGTTTTACTCAGATTCTAGATTTATGATGGAACGACTGCCTCCGAAACAGCCAAAGGTTATTTACGAAGCAAATTTTAAACACAGTAAAGAAAAAACATGAGCGAGTTTATAAGGAAAAATGGCAAGTTGTTCATAAAATGTCCTCTTGTGCAATTTGCAGTTGGGGAAAAACACCAACAAAAAACTTGATTGAGGAATGCTTATTGAGTTCTGTAGTTTGAAGGTTGAGAGTTTCTCGAGATGAAGAAAAAGAGAGTTTCATGAATATGGTTCAGATATTGCTGGTGTTGCCGATGAGATATTTTGGAAAATTTGAATGAACAAGAATCTGTTGTTGGTCATTTCGTGCTGCAAGTAGTTCTAAAATCAAGTTTCATTTCTTTCATTTATCAGATGAATGATTTCATACTCGAAAAAAAAGAGAAGAGAATGAGGTGGGAACTGTGGATAAAAGTTTTCTGTCTCACTAAACAGTTTCATTGTTGATGCCATCATGACCAGTTAGAAGTCAAGGTTGAGCCCCAAGTAATTGCTTTTACATCGATATCGTTTATTGATTTGGTTCCGTTGGGTTTGCACAAATAAATGTGACAAAAAAGACTTGATGGGCGCGAATGCGGTTTTGTTTTTTTATGTGCGTAATGATATAAGTTATAAAGTCGAAACTTTTTAAATCATAATTGGAGGCAATGACAGTCAGTTTTTCTTTTAAAATCAAAGTGAAGTACAATCTAAGTGCTGTCTACAAACTGTCATCTAAGAATTTTGATCGATTGTTTTTCAAAAGAAAGATTTATTCGAAAACATATATCATTTACCATGGAAATCTTTATTCTGCAGAGGCCTTACAAATGACATTTTGAAATTGATTAGTGCCCAGAAAATTGATTATACTAGCCTGAATAAATTCTAACTTCAGTACACAAAAACCTTACACCAACTCGTTAAACCTTCACAACAAAATTCTGTGCAGATCAATGATTCTGCGAGATTTTTACTGATGTTTTGACTTTACATTGCACCAGTTAACAAGAGGAGAAGTAGGTGCGTAAGTTTTTTGGTGTTTTTTCTAATATCCGAGAAACTTTGAGACAAATTTTTGTTTCCAAAAAGTTTCACAGGGAAAAAAAGTTGTTTGTTTTTTGTAATATCGGAGAAAGTTTGAGAAAAAAAAGTTGTTCACAAAAAGTTTCATTGGGAAAAAGTATTTTGTTTTATCACCCAGAAATGTGCATGAGCGTGCATAGTACAAAAAAAATGAAAAAAAAAACTTCGGGCCATGATGGCGTTAGTAAAAAAAGTATTTCAGAAACTTTTGCCGGTAATATGTCAGCCTTTTGCTGAATTGTCAAAAGAATTTTAGTCTGAAGGCGTATTTCCGGCGTATCATAAGCTGACGAAGGGCAGGGATTTGCACAATTGTGGCGAATTTTCTGGTCCCAACAATTATAGATCTATTGGCCTACTCAACTCTACTTCAAAAATTTTTAACAATTGCAAAAAAAATATCTTTTCAAGAAGGAGCAGTTCGCGTTTCAAACAAGAGATCATGTGTTCATGCTTTGATTCGTTCCACACAGTCCATGACAAAATCTTTTGACAAACAGTATCACACCTTTCTATAAATCCTTAATAGAACTACACTGCTATCTTTTTCGAGTGATAAGTAACAATTTTCTAGAAAATTAATTAAGTGATCAGAAACAATATGTTGAGGATGGCAGTGAAGTATAATCTGTTTAGGTAGTCCGATTCGCTTTAACTCAAGGCTCCTTTTGGGGCCATTGCTTTTTCGGTTATATATCAACGACATGCCTGATGTGTACAAAAATTCAATGTTTTTTTTTTGTTTTTGCTTAAGGCATCATACAAGGCTTGTCGTATTAGTAAAATTGAAATCGAGAAAAATACTGAAAAGTGCACTTAAAAATTTTTAAAAATCGGTTGCCCCATAAGTAGGGATGAAAAAGCATCTCTGAACTTCTGGAAAATTTATAAAGATGAAACCACTCATAGAAATTTTAAAAATATATTCTGTCAATTATCTAGTCTTTGTTGTAGGCAAAACTCAAATTCAAAATACAAAAAGAAATTTAAAAAAAATTGATATTTTGTGGAATTGTGTTCAAGCCTAGTTTTACTCTTTAAATCAGCTTTCAGTGTTTTACGAATCTTGTGCTTAATCTACTGTCTAATTTTATATGGAAAAACTTACAAACATTATTTTGATGAAACTTCAAATCTTCAAAATTGTCTTTAATTTTTTTTTGTAGGAAAAAATGGAAGCGTTAACCGTATCATGTAACAAACCAATTACTAACTGTTTTTAAATTTTTTACGACTGAGTTAACAACAGAACAGTTTGCTCAGCTAAGACAAAAATTTCAAAGCAATGTGCTTAAAACTTCAAAACGTTACAACCGGCGTTCCACCTGTGCATCTGCTAAAGACTATTTATTATTTAAAGAAAAACAAGAGAACAAAAACAGCTGCCAGATCAATGACAAGTAGAATAAGGCTTCTCTATAGTTATTTGCTCGCAAAGGATTTGGTACGATTTTGACACAAGAACAGTTAACAATAAGGAATATCTGAAATGGTTTCAAGTTTTGAAAACTAAATCTTAGACATTAGGGATAATCACAGTTTGCTGTTTCAAAGATTTCTCACCCTACTATAATGGGTCCTCTCTTCTAGAAATTTTATCAGGGTTACCATTTACTAAGCTGAAATTCTCTTTGATAACCCCTCCAGCCATTTTGCAAACTTTGTCAAAAAAATTTTGCAATATATAGCTGTAAGTTAATTTAAAATAGGAAAAACTGAACCACAGGAGTTTTAAACTTCAACTTTTTGCGTTGGTCTATTAGGAAGGAAATTTAAATTACTTTAAACAAGTAGAAACTTCACTGATGATTTATAATGTAAGCATTTCGCGCAACATTTGAAATCTCAACATTTTCCATTTTGACCTTAATAATTTAAATCAGGGCTAATTAGCGATTGAAAAGTCTTCAGGCTAACTACAAAACAAATTTTTGAATTTTTCTTGTGCATTTTGATTCTACGTTTTCTACGCTGATTCTAACCTAATTCAGAAATTTCTGCTGTGAGATTTTGCGGAGTATCTGCTAGAGACTGGCAGAATTTTTTAAAAGCACTGAATATGAAAAACAGCAAAAACCTTTCCAAAAAATTTTATAGTAGAATGCTGCAAACATAATGTATTTTCGAGAAAACTGGTGCTAATTTCATTTGACTCCAAAATAATTGGGGTTAAAACCAAAAAACTCGTTTTTCCATTTAAAACCACCACAAGCGAGTTTACGCACCAAAAACAATCAACGCTTAGGACGTGGCTATTTAAGTTTAAATTTGCTCCTTCTGGTCATTTTGGTCGATCGTGACAGAGACGTTGCGGTCCCTGGCAACTGCAAAATCTGAGGTCAATAAAACACATTTCAAAACATTTTTTTTGAAACAAGCAAGCACTTTCACACATTTATTTACAAATTTATAATACAGATTTTGAGCTGCAGGCTTTTTGACAATTTATTCCAATCCAACTGTTCTTGTAACCGTAAAACTAATTCAAAATTGGATCAGCGTATGTACATCTTGTTTCCACGTTCAAATTGTAATCTCCTCCCCACTTTTTCGGATCATTCGGAAATGCCTTACTTGTCGGCAACCTGGCCCAGCCATTTTCGCCCCAGAAAGTTCCCCAGCTGTTACGTATGATCCAGTATTCGCCCACCTCAGCGTCAACGCCCCACCCTGAGACCGAAATCACGTGATCATAATGACCACTGGGTACTTCCTGTTGATACACCGTTCCACCTGAAACAACCGACACAGTAAAAAAAACATCAGAACTCATCAAATGGGACACAATTGCTGTCACTGTCTTGAAGAATGATATAGAGTCTACAGATAACCACAACACATAATCTACGACAAAATCGCAAAATCGAATTTCAAAACGACAAAATTGAAGTCTCAAGGTCTCATTTAATGATACGGTGAGGGATGATAGTGTGTAATCTACTTATAAAATTATAATAATTAACCAGGGGCGGATTTAGGATTTTCTCGAGGGGGGGGGGGGGGGCGAAATTTCAAAAAAAAGTTCAAAATTTATCGACCTTTTTGTATAGATCACCCAAATTAATTTTTCGAGCATCCCAAAGGACTAAAAAGACCCTGTGAGGGCCAAATTTTCTGTGTCGCAGGCAAATTTTGATAAAACAGGCCAAAAAAGCCTTATTTTCCCTTTTTTCGAAAGAAAGTTTCACCAAAAAATCGCGTTTTTCGGCGTGCACTCACCCTCAAAATTAGTATATCTTGGTGCCACAACCGCCTATAGAAAAATTTTAGGTTCTGTCACCAAAACGGATATCTCAAATTAGTAAAAAGGGGGAATCTTTGGGTCGGCAATTGAATTTTTAGGAATTCATTTTTCAAATATTTACATAAGAGCTGAAGTAAATTTTTTAATAGCTCGTATATAAGAAATTTTGTTACTGAACATATCTCTCAGATTTCACAAAAAATGATTACAAATTGATATATTTGTTGTTTTAAAAGAATTCTAAGGGTTTGATTTTGCTTCATTTCAAGTTTTGAAAATGAAAATTTATTAGCTGTGCCGCACACTACAACTCTATATTGCAGTTTTATCTAGGGGCGCTCAATTAGATCTTAATTAGTTGTCCTGTTACTAGTACGTCAATTAGTATGTATAGCAATACACAATTTTTTTGTTATAAAATCAAAATTTTATTTTATTGTTTTCTCTAGGATCAAAGTTTGTTTTTTGATTTCCGACAAATTTTCTGTTTATGATAAATCCTCGTTATCTTGGTGTGAAATTTGTCCTTGTTGCTTCACTGCTGTGTCATCAGCAAAAAAATTTTCATTTAATTTGTAACCAATGGTGAATCATTTCTCATTACATTGAACTGTATTGGTCCGAGGACTGATTCCTGTGGATGTCGAAATAAAATTTGTGATCTATTTGTCAAATATTATTTCAACAATGCTTGCATGTGACCTCGTGTCAGCTTTTTGTAGATATATTTCTAGTAAAAAAAGTATCAAGCACTTTTTAGAGATCTATAAAAGTTGCATGCGTTAAGTTTTTCAATTCCGAAACAATTCGAATGTTTGATGAAAATTCACAAAGAATCTTTGTAATCGATTTAGAACAGAACCTTTGTTGGTTTTTAGGCAGGACACCGTGTGCATGTAAAAACCAATCAGACGTTTGTGGAGCAGTTTTTCAAACATTTTGGCTTTTACCCGACAATTTTACTAAATTTTTGATAGAGACTGTTGTTTTTTGTTTCGCATAATTTTAAATTCAGACTCTTGTGTTTTGTTTCGAATAACATTATGGTTTTTGTGATGAATTGGTATTTTTTTGCAAATTTCGGTTTTTGAAGTTCACTTCCTGTAAGGATTCAGTTTGCAAAGTTTTCCTCCATTTTTGCTAGCGGTACTTTAGATTTTGTCAATTATCCAGGTTTTTTATTTTCGATGATATTTTTCGTAGTAGGTAGATCGAATAAGTTTGTTTTTAAGGTAAATATCAGATGAAAGAACCATTACACTCTAATATTGTCGTTTCTTCGCCGTGCGTTTGTAATTTAAGCAGAGCTCACTGATTCACTTTCTGCAAATCTTCTTGTCTTCTGATTTGTTTCAAACATCGCATAATTCTTCTTGAGTAATTTTATCAGGAGTCCTACTCTCTGGTTTTTTCATTAAGTAAATACTGTTGAATGGTCTGTATTCAATGTATCCGATTCTTTGATAACTGTCGCAAAACTTAGCCACATCACTTCAACGCAGCTGATTGATAAATTGTTGTTTTTTGATAAATTAAATTAAAACTTCTTGGAAAATCTGAAGCTTTTTTATTTGAGCTAAGAAATTGCCAAAGTTGAAGTTTCCGCAAAGAACAAGTTTATCATTGGTTCCCACATCAAAATTATCCAATAACATGTTCAAGCTCTTCGTTGAATCAATCAGTTTAAAGTCAGGACTTGAAAACTTCTATAAAACTATAAAACATCATTCAACAACTTTATGATAGGCAAAAATGATACTGGTCTCAAACAAAACCGCTAATAGGCTAGAAATCAGAAACATTATGAACAAAAAAGCCAAGTCCAGAACCTCTGCTATCTCTGCGTTGATTTTGAACTTGTTGGTATTTTGGTAGGCTGAGGCATACTTTATTCGAATCCGTTCTTAGCCATGGTTCTATTAGTGCAATAACTAATGGTTCAAAACCTAATGTACTCAGTAAAGCTGTAGAAGTTTCAATTTTTTGAGCAATCCAATGACTTGTTATACAAATTTTTCGTGTTTGAGCCATGCCAACAACGTCGCAAGGTACACAGACATTTTTTAAATTTCATACAAGATAAAATCAATTTTGTCTAATACCTTTTAAACAGAGCAGTCGAGCAAACATTGCAAACCTACCCAGTTTGTAGGGATTTTTTTCCCTTGAAAACGAAGGCTAACACCGCAGATATCGTAAAAATACGTTTTTGCTCAAGTGGGAAATCCATGTTTCTCAGTGCTGGAAAAGTTTGATAAAAAAATCTAGGAGATTTTTGAAAAGTTTTGAAAACTGTGAAACTGCGAAAACTAATTTTGTGGTTTCTAATCCAAAACAGTCTTATAAAATTCAAATAAAAAATTTATCAACTTACGTTTTAAAGGTTTTAAACTGCTTCCATGCCGCTTAATTCACCACAGTTGGTCAAACAACCAGAGAAAACATGCAGTGGAGACATAAGGCAAAGTTCTTGCACTTGAGTTGGTGTTCAGAGTTCATGGATTACCATCTTTCATCAGCTTTTTTCTCTTTTTTACTGTGATGGTTTTAGTTTTTTGCTTTATTTGAACTTGAGCTACCCCTCTCCTGCTTGTGATGTTTTTATCTCTTGTAGTTGAATTGCACACATTAGATATGTCAGAAAGATTGTACAAAGCAAAAAATGCTGTAGTTTTGCTAATTTTTATGCTAATTTTTTGCTAAAACTTTAAAAAAAAAATTTTTTTTTGACATTGTTCGGTATTTTTGTGACGAGAAATCGAACAATAATTTTTGCTGATATTATAAAAAAATTTTACTGGCCTCTGCTTGATTTCTGCCTTGTACTTTTATAAAATTGAATTAGTACAAATAAATTTACCCTTAAACTTGTTTCTGTTTTCATAAGTTCAAAACGAGCTAAAAACAGTATCTTTTCCTTAAATTCTAAAAACTTGACTTTGGCTGCTGGATAAAATTATCCTTGCCGCTTTCCGCTAAAAAATGGCAGGTCTTAGTTGGCTGAATTATCGATACACAAATAACCCTGAAAAGATCGCAATACATCAGGGGTCTCTTAATACACTTTGTGTCTTAGATGCGGCAAATAGGGTATTAGAAGTCGCTTTGCTATCTTTGCGGATATATCTATCCTGTGCATGTAATCTCTCATTTTTTTGTACCCATTTCAAATTATCATTTTTTACCGATTTAATTTCACCTCGTTTAATTTTTTTTTAAAGATTTTCCGTTTGTAAATTGAAGTGGCTCATCTTCTACCCCTTTGTACAAACTTCTTTCACCGCTTGTAGGCGTTGACTCATTTCCGAAAACTGTTCCTTGATATTCGATAATTTATAGTTTTTATTAAGAAAAAAATCGCTGTTTTGTCGCAAAAAATTAAGAATTTAAAAAATTCAAAAAGAAAAATGCTCATGGGGGTCTATAGTTTAGTTTTCAAGGCAATTTTGCTGAATTATTTGTTCAAAACAGTTGTGTTTAAAAGTTTTACCCCTTTCTTGAAAAAATATTGCTAATTTTCATCCTAATTTTCTCATTTTTAACGGATATATTTTTTACGGTTATTTTTTATCCTAGTTTTTCAATTTTTGTCCTGATTAACTCGAAGAAGTTGATTTCCACTGGCCGAATAAAGCTATTGTAAGTAAATGTTTAGTCTAAGACAATTTGATTTGGAGATTGAATTTTGTCGGCTTTCTGTTTCATTTTGAGAATTTCAAAGAACAAAACGCGTAAAAGAATCTCGCAAAGCGCTCGAAGCGCGAAAAAAACTAACCGATCTCTTTTCGGTCATTTACTTTCTTAATATCTAACCTATCTTCTCAGCAAGCTCAGGCAAATAATCTAGGAAACCACTGAAATTGTTCTTCTTAAAATTATGTTAAGTTATTCGAGGAGTTTTGAGTAACACTTAGTTTTTCTTACCGTGGGGTGAGAGCCTTCAGACCTCAAAAAATTAAAGAGGTCGCGGCGGAGTCTTCTACTTTGTATGAAGGAACTCTCTTCAATTGATTAATCATGAAAGAAACATCCGATGGAGTTGATTTTAAGCAAGTTTTCTTCTCAACTTTGAATTTAAAACTTCGATAGGAGATTTTTGTTTGGAAAAAATAGGCAGTGCTCAAATTATGCTTCAATTTCGGTCTCTCGACCAAAACCGCGTATGTTTTCGACTGTGATTGACCTATATTTCGACTTTCTCGTTCGGATTGTTTCGATTTTATGCTCGGCCTAATTTTGCTTCTCGACTGCGGATTTTCAGGCGCAGAACTGCACCTCGACTTTCAAAGTCGAAACAATAAAACGAACACCTAGTCCTGGGTTTGAATGTTTTAGATTGTATGAGTTTTGAAGACCTGTGAATTGCTCGAACTCTTTTGTGGCAAATATGGAGCAGACGATAGGTCCACGGTGATATATCTCACTCATCATCGCCTGTCGTCCTTGAAGAGACCCGAAGTCATCCACTTTATACACGGTATAGTCCTTCACAGGCGGACAGTAGGTGAAGTTCCAACACGTGCCACACTGCAAAAGAGATTAATTCAAAATAATCAGGGAAGCTTCTGATCAAAAAACACCTGGTGCCGAACTATTTCAAATTGGAAAATGAACAGATTTCTTTTGAAATTTTCGAAAAAACTAAATATTGAGGCAACTTGGAAGGTTCCCGTTTTTTGTCGAACTAAAACCGTATGATCAAAAAAGCCCCGCTTGAAAATAAAAACCACTCTTTGAAAGGTAAACTATTCGTAAAATATTTGAAGGATTGGTTATTGAATTATAGTACCAAAATTAACAAGTTTGCTGTGCAATTACCACAGAATAGCCCGGCCAAATAATTGAAGTGAAAAATTGAAAAAATGACAAAACACTTTTCTACTGAATTTCATGTTGTTCATTCTCCAATAAAGGGCAATGGAGTTGGTCTAATGAGACGATATACTAGTCAAACTAACGTATAATAACCGGGAGATTAAATTGAAAGCTCATATACGAATGACTTTCAAAAGCCAAAAAAAAACTAAACTACGTTTTTCTCGACAGAAAAATTTTTGAACTTTTCAAGAATCCAAATTATGACTAATAGGGTTTCATTGTGATGAAACACATGACCGATGACCAATTGCGAGTTTACCTTGAGTTACCTAATATTATTTGACGCGAAAAGATACGATCAAAATTATCTTCGCAAAACAATTAATTGTATCTTGTTTCGAGCAGAGAAGAAAATAGCCACAGTAAGTTATAGGAAAATGAAAAGAAAACCAAGAATTCTGTTTTTTTTGTGTGTGTGTGTGTGTATATACTTTGTTTTTAAAGCTAGAAAATTAAACTTTATATCGCTTAGTTAAAGGGTTTTTATTCAATTTGCTTGCTTTACTTGCTTGCACTACTCGCTCGTAAAAGCCTAAGATTATAAGTTTTAGCGGATAAAATCTTGCTCTAATCGCGACTAGGATTAAATTTTCTATTCAGTTTTTCGCGAAACGGAAAATTCTTTTGAAAATTATTTGAAATCAATCAAAACACATTCAATTGGATTAAACTTGATTTGAAATTCACTGGACCCAAGAACTGCTTAAAAACATAATTTATGTAATTTTAGGCATTCAAAATAAAACAAGAGTCAAATCTGAAATTGGTCTAAAACAAACAAAACTCAACAAAATGAGGCACCTATACTCGCATATTTTCGAAGAAAGTTGTTTAGCACTAGAAATATTAAAGCAAACGTTTCTTAGTTCCAGAAACAAGTTGCAATTATGAATATTAAAGCTCTACGAAGAATAAAGAAACGCGATAAAAAATGTTATAAGTTTCTAATGTTAACAGGGACGGATTTAGGGCTTTCTCGAGGGGGGAGGGGGGCTTTCGAAAAATTGACAAAAATTTTGGTCGACTTTTTTTTTAGGTCGACCAAATTGATTTTCCGAGGTCTCCCAAGTCAATAAAAAGACCTTGTTTTGGCCAAATATTTTGCGCCGCAGGCAAAACTTAAAAAAAAACAGGCCAAAAAAGCGTTTTTAGGCACTTTTTGGACAGTTTTGACCAAAAATTGTGTTTTTTTTTCGGCGAACACTTCCTTCTCAAAAATAGTATATTTTGGCGCACAAGGCACCTTTAGAAAGTTTTTAGGGTCATCCAGCCAAAAATGGAAATATCAGAATAGTACAAGGGGGGACCCGCATTTAAAAAAAAAACAAATCGATTATATCGAATTTTCGTAGTCTTTTAAATTTAAATTTGAATCCATTTTTTAAATCCATTAAATCCATTCAAATCAATTTTTTTCTCGCCAAAACAAAATGCATTTTTAGAACCATTTTTTTAAATCCATTTTTTCTGACCAAAACAAAATGCATTATAATTCATTTTGAATCCATTATATTGGATTTTATAATAAGTATGAAATCACGTTAAATTGGATTTTTTTCCACTATATTTTTGTTTCGCGCGTCGTGCAAAAAAAATTTGCAAGAATTTCAGCATTTATCAAGTGAGTGATGCGGAAACTTTGCAAAGCGAGTGTACGGCCTGGCCTAACGCATTCCAAAACCTAAACTCAAATTGCAAAAAGATTCCGTTGAGCTTCATCCCCCTAACGTTTGCCCCTTTGCTCCCCTCCCCCACTGAACCCCCCCTCCCACCTGAACACCCCGCCCCCCACCTGAACAACCCCCTATCCACCTGAAAACCTTCGCCTGAACAACTCCCCCCCCCCACCCCACCTCAAATAGTAATATTATAATCCATTTTTAAGTGGAGGGGGGCGTCTGAAAAGTCTCTGTTCATGTTCATAATTTTGTTTCAACGCCGCTACAATATTCAGTTCTGTTGATTAGATTTTTCGTAAGAAGGAATTTAGATGAGCAAAAGAGCTCAAAAGTTAAGATAATTTTAAAAATTAAAACCGTTGATTTATTCACCCCCTCAACCACTCATTTTTATAATCCAATTGAATATTTATAATTTATTGGAGTAAAAACATAATAATAAGCAAATGTTGCAAAGCTGGCAACTTTTTTCCTGCAAGTTTTAAAAGCTTAAGACCCAATATAACTTAAACATGATTAAAAAATTGAAAGAAACAGTTGTTAGATTATAAAATATCAGAAAAACATTCAAAAAATAATTAATTAATTATTTCTGAAATTGTTTGAAGCTAAACTAGCCGGCACCAGAAGCAGAAGCAGCTTAAGCTCCTTTTCAATACTGAAATACCATATACAACTAAAACGCAAATGGGGATCTTAAGAAACTGATTGATTGTTATAAGAAACTTAGTCAGAATTAAATGATCAAAAAAGGCTGAAGCAAAAATATTGAGATGACTATAAGTTTTTGATCATTATTTATACTTTCAATAAATCATCGTTATCTCAAACACAAACCAAATCGGTAGTTTCCATAATTCAGTCTTTGGTTAAGTGGCAGATAGCTTGACTTATGCAGTTTCAAAAATCGCTTTCAAAATTCTCAAAATACATTATAGGTTTAATCAAAGTTCTGTACTTAAAGTCGCCCATTTGTCAATGTTTAGAGAATTAAAGACATTACAACATTATTGAAAAGAGAAAAACAATTAATTTTTCATCAAAAAAGTTTTCAGCAGAAAAAAACAACGAAATCTTTGAAAATAAAAGTTTTGAGTCTCAGATTTTCAAATTTAAATCCTTATTTTCAAAAGGATTCTGAAAACATTCTTTTCTGATGATTGAAACAATATAATAAAACCAAAACCGTTTAGAACATTTTTTTTTCAAGTATTACGAGAATTAAGGAAAATTTCAAAAAAAAAAACATCCCCGGTTCTCAAAGTCTTATAAGAATTATAAGTAAAACTCAAAATCTTATAAGACTCTTATCTTGTAGGATTGATTTCGAAAACTTACAAAAATCTTTCATCATGTAAGCTGAAATTCCAAATCTAATAAGAGTCTTATAAAAATCTTACAAGATTTCGAATTTCGGTATAGAATTTTAAATCATCAAACGAACTCTGGCCTTCAAAAATGTTAAGAAACACTCTTTTATGAGCCTCATTCGGATGTGGCGAAACCTTTCGTCATAAAAGAAATAATCTGGAATCTTACGATATTTTTCCATCAATTAAGCAAAAATTCAAAATCGTATAAGAATCCCCGGGTTGAGTTAACAGGAAAAATTATTAGCTAACTCGCAGCGATTACCATCTATGGTTCAGTCATTGATCAGGGTCACTTTATCCATGATCAGGGCTAAATCATCACTGATTTAGCGCTAAATTTCAGGTATGAATCAGATATCGCAGCGATTACCATCTATGGTTCAGTCATTGATCAGGGTCACTTTATCCATGATCAGGGCTAAATCATCACTGATTTAGCGCTAAATTTCAGGTATGAATCAAATATAAATCATCCATGAATCAGGGATGGATTTTTACTGCATTAACTCTGAAGACCTATGAATCAGGGATATCTCAATCCTGAAAAATTCCTGAAGAGCCATGAAAAACTTAGAGGTTGTTTTCAGCAGTTGGTTGCAACAATTGTTTTACTTTGATGCCAAATTAGTGGTTTTATGATTGTACCGACAACAAAACTTTGAATCCAATTCGAAATTTTGATTTTTTTTTAGCGCTGATTCAAGGAGTTATCTTGGCCAAATTATCCATGACTATTGCTGAGAAAATTAGCCATGAAATAACCCTGAAGCATCGCTAAAAATCTTATAAGATGGGATATGCCTGAATTAGCGATGAATTTCCTAACAAACTGATATATTTCTGAATCAGCGAGAATGTTTCCAGTCAACTCAACCCGGGTCTTATAAAAATCTTACAAGTTTTTAAATTTTGGTTTGGAAATTGAAATTGTTTCACAGATTTTCCAGAAAGCAACCCTCCTATGCTTATTTAGAGTGAATCAATGAATCTTATTCAATAACATAACCTGGAGAAATTTTACTTTTTTGTTGATTTAAAGCTGAAAAGAGTAACTCCATCTGCTTGTTAGTGTATGGAGGCAATAGCTTGTTTAAAAGGTTCGAGTTATTGGTTTTATTGTATTCCATGCGCGCCGTTGATCGGTCAGTTTTGCAGGCTTTTAATAGTTTTCCTTCAGTCAAACTTATAATAGTACTTGAATAAAAACACTAAAATAGGTAAAACAGTTGTCTCAAACTTGTTGTAGTGGGTAAAAAAAGATAGCCTTGACCCGAAGTGGCTCTTCATGTTAACTTTCTCTAGAAAAAGAGATACACAAATTTGATTTTTAATTGTTTCTTTAGTTGCGTTTTTTAACTGCAACCAAAAATTTATCGCTATAGGGCTATAAATTTTGTATAAACTTTCATTGAATTGGAGCTCTTTCCTGGCTGTAACTTTTTAGCCGTTACCGAAAGTTACTGTACCCTATACAGTTTCATGGGAACTAACAGTAGGTTTGGTCGTGGTGGCTTTGTTACCATAAGATACGACTAAAGATGTTCATATGATGTTTCTATTCTTTATTACCCTATAACGTTTTTATTTTGAGTAATTT